TTTTTTCTCTCTTAGTTTTACGGACTATTTGTGCTATTAACTGCAGCGAGGCTTTGGCCCAACTAAAATCGATTCACGCACTTGCTCGCTGGGTTGCGCAAAATATAGCAAAAATTCTAAAACATTGGCGTGAAAGTATCTATAAAATTAAAAGAACACACACACACACACACACATACACACACACTAAAAGTTAGATGTTGGATATTTGGGAAAAGAACGACACTCAAGAGAAAAACGTTGCGCTGTCAACTGACAAGCGGAAAATGAAAATACATGTCTGTATATATATGTATTTAACTATATAGTAGTGGAAAAAAAAAGTCTGCTTGCTTTGCTTCGCTTTCGATTCCAAAAAACACATTGGCCAAAATGAGATGCCAATAGAAAATGTTGCTTGGAGCATGCTTAAAGTTTAAGCGAAAATCCGCATCGAAAATAAATAAAATAAATTTTCTTAGCCGCTTTGACAGTTTGCGAGCAGCCGCAATCGCTAAAAAACACAACAAAAATGTTTTGAAAAATATAAAAAAGAAATAATAGAAAATACTATAACAATTCTTTTTTGCAGTAAAAATAATTTATATACTATATACACTGAACAAACATGTTTGATCCATTTCAACACTTGCGAATCTTTCCATTCACAAGTGTTTTGTTTCAGCTCTTCAGGTGCAAAGGAACCTAAGCAAAATTATGTTCTCTGCTAAATACAACAAAACTCAAGATGACGTTGTTAAATATCATTAAAATTCATATGCTTTGAGGTAAAACATAAATGCTGCACTTGAGCTGTGAGGATTCTGAAAACCTAAGACGAAATGCTAATAAATACGCAGAGCAGTATTTATAGTACGTATATGCCTTATATACTACAGTTTATATAGTATATTGCTTAGACTCCGCCCACACTTTGGTTAACAAAAATTTGACGGATAACTTGGGCCATGTTGCCATACCAATATTGAGTACCTGACAGTTGTCATTAACTCAATTTGAAAATGCACTGCGCAAATGCTTGAAGTGAACTCTAGAAAAACAATAATACAAAGATATATATTAGAAATATTTCTCTAAATCATCTGCATAATGACTGAAACAATTACTGAAAAATATTTGGAAATATTTTAGGTTCAATGATCACGAAATTTTGAAAAGATTTGACTTGACATGCAGTCAAGAATGGAAAGAAAGAAAAGTGTGAAAAGAAAAAAAATGCGTTGAAAGTACTGAAATACGAAATTTAAAAGTTATTTATAGTAATATTTTACGATTTACTTTTTTATTTATAATTTTTTACGTGTGCTGCAACTAAGCTCATTTAAATACATATTTAGAATTGTTCTAAACAATTTTGTTTATAGCAATTGAACGTAAAACAAATTGTCTGTTTGAAATCATTTATAGCCTAAAATAAAAGTGTAATTAACAATATTTATATATTTCGTATTTATGCATTCATTAATGTGTAGGCAATAATAAATAAAGTAAAGTAGTATAATCCGGTTATAGCGCCACTTAAGGGACCAACGATTTCACGTCGTTATACCCCGAAAACGCTATAACCTATAGGATCCCTTTCATATATGATCGTTTGTATGGGAACCAGCCAAATAATAATAGATTTATAAAAGTAATAATAGTTTAACTTCCAATATAATAAAATGTATCAATTTATTTTGAAACAATAAACTTGTTTCAATATAAATATAAAGAATTTTAATTATACAAAATTTATATTTGCTCTGTTTAAGCTGAACAAAGTTATCGATAGGCGAAAAAAGTTCAGCTAGATAATGAAATGTATATCAAGATGGATAACCGATCAGAATAATTTAAAGCTAACTAAACTGTTTTGGCCTATCGACAAATTTATTGAGCTGAAATATTGAAATTGCATTTACAATTAATTTATTTATCACCACTACTACACTAATTTATATTAAATTTATTTTACAGACTACATAGCCCTTCCATAGCATAGACATATGTATTTAGTATATTAATTAACATTTCTCATAGTAATAATCTTCGTTAATCTTAATTATAACTAATAATTAAATCATTTATTATATTCGGTTATTATGTACATATCTTAAATAACATAAATTCTAAGAGATTCCAATTGGCTATTCACATCGGTTTATCATGCATTTAGCCGGCGGATTCATCTGTGCCTCCGGCCCACACTTGAAGGCAGCCTGAAACTCTGGCAGATTCATGTAGCCCCTATTGAGCTGGGCCGCAAAGATCTCGTCCTGGCGGTTGCACAGCTGCTGGGCAACCGCATAGAAGAGTATGCGATGTTCGTCGAGGCCGAAGTACTGCAGCACAAACTGTTCGGCAAAGACGAATCGCTCGCCCTCCAGCCAGAAGCGATAATCCCGCAGAGCGGCCTGAAACGAGCGATGGAAGTGAAAGACATCGGCCACCTCATGCGCACTCAAGGGGCGATAGATGGCCGCCAGCTGGGAATCGTAGAGCTGCTGCGTCTGTCGCTCCAGGCAGTCGAGCGCCGTGTAGTAGCCGTCGGTGTCCTTCAGGAGGCGAGAGTCGCGCCACAGCTCCAGGCCCTGCGTGGCGTAGTAGTGATACATGGGTCGATGTAGCGACAGCAGCACAAAGTGCAGAAAGTGGCGCAGGAAGTAGGCGGACTGCTGCACGTCCTCCGCATCCACATAGGCAGACTGGAAGCTGTGCCGCAGCTGAGCGCGTCGCAGCTGCAGCAGATTGCCGTAGAAGTGATACGGTCGGAAGTGCACCTGGCCATACCACGACGTCAGCTCGCTGATGTTCAGATAGTGCTGCGCATGCGCCTGCAGCAGCCGTGCCACCTGCAGCTCGCGGCGCTCCACAGACGCCGGCCACAGATGCCCGTACCAGTCCCGGCTGCCCAGCGTGGAGCGCCGGCGCTTCTGGAAGCGCGTCGTGTGCAGCTGGTACATGGCCAAGGCCACGTCCCGCGTCAGCTGTGGCGCCAGCACGTGCCACTGCCAGTACTCGGCGTGCAGCAGCCGCTCGAACTCCGTGGCCAGCTCGTAGCAGTCCCCGTAGGCCAAGCGCTGCTGCGCCTGCCACAGCACATAGTTGTAGACGATGCGCGGCTCCGTCTGGCGCAGCACGCCCCACGCCCGCGTGATATGCGCCACATCCAGGGGCAGCTTGCGAGCCGTTACCAGCTGCTGCGCCGTAAAGTTCAACAGGCCAAAGAACGTTTGCATATAGTCCATGGTATTGTCATCCAGCTCCAGCTGCTCCTGTCCCGGCGCCGGCGTGTTCTGCCGTCCTCGCTTGCCCTCGGCCAAGCTGGTGGCCAGGGGCAGCTCACCGCGCATCCCGCGGCACAGCATGCGCATCTCGTGCGCCACAATGTGCCCCACCTGAGCATGACGGCCTGCCAGCACGTCCGACATGCTCACCTGGAACTGCCGCTGGCTGGGACAGGGCAGCTCCGCTATAGGCGCCACATAGATGGCCTGCTCGGCAAAGTAAATGTGCAGCAGTGTGGGCAGACCGTGCGCCGCCAGCTGCGCGGCCAGCTGTATCCAGTTGAGCTGCTCGTCCAGCTGCCGGCGCTGCCATTGGTGGCGCAGGAAGGGCCAGCCGGTGAGCACCTCCTGGTGGGCAGCTAGAAACGGCACCTGCTCCAGCATGTGCTCCAGGTGGGTGTGCTGCCGCCCGCGCATCTTGCACTCGCCATACAGCTCAGCCAGCAGCTTGCCCGGCAGCGTTTCAAACTTTTCATAGTGCAGCTCAAAGAACTGCATGCGATCCTGCATGTTGTACAAAAACGGAGGCAGTGCATCATCTGGATCAGGCGCTTGCTCCAGCTGTCCGAAGTTGCCGCACGCATGTGCATAGAAATCATCACAGGGTTCCGCGCTCGCATTTCTCAGTGCCACCAGCTGCTGCAGATTTCGCTTGTACAGGCGAGTGAAAAACCTGGCCGCCTCGTCCTCCTGCTCCTCAGTTGCTGTCGTGCCTTCGCCATGTGCCAGGCGCAGAGCCATCAGCAGCATCGGCAGCTGCCATTGCCAGCGCATTTCGCTCATCCGCTCGCCAGTCCCAGCGCGCTAGTACTACGTCTCGGCATCGAAGTCGGAGGCAGCCAGCCGAGCAGCAACTGATAAGCCCCCGACTAGATGTGGAGCACACTGTGACGTCCACCAAGCAAATGATAGCAGCGCATGCCCCAGGCGTCTAACGCCTTGACCTTACAGATTTCCGCTCTAGCGAATTAGAAGCAGAGAATGTCAACAATCTATTACTCATTGCCAGGTATTAACCGGCGTTACACGGCTCTGATTTCAAAGTTTTTCATATCTCAATTATATAAATGTGTATGTATATATTATTTTTAATATAGTCATAGAACAATTTTATTTAAACTATATGCATATTAAACATATCTCATTTAAAACACATTACATCATTCTAGCACTGTACATTCCTGTAATCGACATTAACAGCCCAATTAATCTGGGCATGCCCATCTGACTGCCTGGCTCGCGTGTAAGGAGGAAATTCTGAAAGAGGAGGATCTCGCGAAAGATTAGGTAACTGCGAAAGATGAGGAAATTCTGAAAGCTGAGAAGACTTTGAAAGCTAAAGTGATACCGAACGATGATGAGATTCCGAAAGCTGGGGAGGCCCCGAAAGTCGATGAAAGTCTGAAAGATGAGATGATTCCGAAAGCTGAGGTAGCCTTGAAACCTGACGAGACTCTGAAAATTGAGGAAATCCCAAAAGCGGAGGGGACTCCAAAATCTAAGGGGACTTTGAAAGCTGAGGACATACCGATTGAAAATGATACCCCTCCAGCCGATGGTGGCATCATCTCGACAACTTGAGATTGATGGGGGCTTGCTCAAATTGCTGCATGATTTAAGGTATCCGAAAATACTTAGTCAAAGAAGGAAATACAAACTTTAAATTGTGATTTATCAAAAAGTATTAAACCCAACCCATCCACTAAGTATTACGTCTTTAAATTGTATGTATGTAGTTCATATGATATATTTATATATATTTCCAGATATAGTTAAACTTGTAGCGCGTGTCAAACCTGAAAAGTCTTCATAAATTTGACAATGTTGCTAAACTGAGTTATAAATAAATTAATGGATGCTGCCTGGCTATAACATCATCTCCCTCAGAGCTGAGAGAGAGCGGGAGAGTGAGAATCATAGATGTCGCTCGCTTAGGCACTAATGCTTGTTCTATTAGTTTCCATACTGCTTGACATTCCATGCCGAAACGATTATTAGTGCCCCTGAAAGTATAGACAGCAGCTATACAGCTATGTGCATATACATAGCTATCTGTAGATATATTTATATGTCTAAATATACACTCTATAAAGAATATACACGTACTGTGGGCGTTGGCAGCCACACGCAGCGCTAATAAATTGAGAAATGATAGAAATTGGCCAGAACTAGAAAGGAAATCTAAAATCAATTAATAAATCAATTGTATAGCTCGCACATACCACTAATAATCCCCCAGTGCTTCAATTAGGTTAGCAGCTGTTGCCCGCGATTCCAAGCGGATAAACAAAAAACAAGCCCAATTTTAAGTATGTTGACGTGGGTCGGGAATAAAATATTTGTATTTAACTGGCATTATCTTTGAGCTCTAAGGCCGTAAGCCCATGGAGCCGACGCTCCATATATGTATGTATGTACATACATACGTCTTAAGGGTTTGAGTGCTATAAAAGCAGAAGACAAGCAGCACTCAGCGATCGTTCGCTTCTTTTCTGTTGTTGTTGTGCGACGTGCTTAACTTTTATACGTTGCGCACTTATTGAAACAACAAACACGTACGTAGCATATATACATATGTATGTGTATGTGTGTGTGTGTGTGAATGCAGATAAACTTAAGGTCTGCAGTGGTCTCTCAGCAGTTGAATTCACAGTTAACTAATCCTCTGACTCTCAATGTTTTCACTTTTTTTTATGCTCAACTCTCACTTTACACACACACACACACACGCACACACGCTTACACTTACTGCCCAGCACATTGGCCAAATTGGTCATCGGCTTGAAGGCCGGCATTCAGTTTCTCCAACATTTTCGGAGCAGGCACAGCTCGCCGCAACGCTTTAATTATTATTAATTCGAGAAATAAATATAAACAGCGTGCAAGATGAACTACTACAGGCTGCTGGCCATAGCTTGCCTGTGTTCGGGTAACTACCAATAAGTCTTAGCCCTAATGTCACACTAAATTGCAATCTTTCTCTAGCCTCCACTTGCCAGGGTGGCTCGGTCTTTGATTTCGTTACACAGTCTGCTCCACAATTGGATGAGGTGACCACAAAACCCGTTACCAGTCGAGACATCACTATCGGACCCTGTAAATGGGCCATTGGACGCAGCTGTCCCGATCCTGATGTCAAATACTATATTTACACGCGTCAAAATGTCATGGATCGTCAGAATTTGCACATTGGCGAGTCCGCAGAGCAATCAAATCTCACCAACTCCAACTTCAATCCAAGAAATCCCACCAAAATACTCATACATGGCTACAACTCCGATATGTTCCTGAGTCCGTTGCAACAAATGCGAGATGGTGAGTGAATGATGTGAATATGATTATGAATTAGATGTGTGGAATTTTCGGGAATTTGAATTTCAAGCTGATTGGCTTCTGGAATATTGAATATATAAAGAATGTTTCATGGATAGAAGAGGAATGAAGATCTAAATACAATAGACATAGCTATATGGATCAATATACAAACAGTATAGTTCTATTGCTCAATATACGCAATGTAAATAGATTAAAAAAAAAAATTCTATATAGAAATAGATTGGATTATATATGTAAGGACGAGAGTTTTTATATTTTTTACAAATAAAAAAATAATAATATATAACAATATAGAATAGAATTGAGAGTTTATAGAACAATAACTTTTTAGCTCTAAACAATCTTGAACCATATTCGAAAAACATCATGATTTAGTTATACAAATACCTAAACTGGCTTATAATCCCTTATAGAATACCTAGCCAAAGGTGATTACAACATAATCTATGTGGACTGGAGTGTGCTGGCGCCGGGCCCTTGCTACATAAGCGCCGTGCACAATACGCGGCAGACGGGCGCCTGTACGGCGCAGCTGATCGAGCGTCTGGTGGAGATGAATAATACGGATATACACATCATTGGCTTCTCGCTGGGCGCCCAAGTGCCCAACTATATAGCGCGCAATTTGAAATCATTTCAGCTGCCGCGTATCACGGGACTGGACCCTGCGATGCCACTGTTCATTACCGCCGGCCTCAATGACAAGTTGGATCCCAGCGATGCGGCATTTGTGGACGTGATACACACGAATGCTCTGGTGCAGGGCAAGCTGGAGCGTTGCGGTCATGCTGATTTCTATATGAATGGCGGCATTTCGCAGCCGGGATGCTCGGGACCACAGTGGATGAGTGGGTACAAATCTGAAAGGGAAGATCAACAAATTTAATTAACTCGTGAATGTTCGTTGTAGATTCCTTTGCCTGCAGCCATCAGCGCGCCAATGCATATTACCTCGAGTCCATACGCTCGCCCAAGGGCTTCTGGGGCTGGGCCTGCAGTAGCTACATCTTTTACTTGCTGGGCATGTGTCCGCCCACAAACTATCTGCTGGAGGCCGGTGACAATGTACGTCCCGGCACGCGTGGCATGTTTCTGATAGACACCAACGACACCTCGCCCTATGCGCTGGGCAAGTGGACGGATCTGCCCACGCTTGGTGTCAAGCGTCCACGCACACCTCCGTTGCCGCAACGCATACCAATGCAGGCTGTTGATCCGCTGCTGCAGCATATCGATCCGTTCGGAAAGCTAGCCTACAATTTCAATAATCTGCCAAGCACACCAGATACGCACGATCTCTATGAGCACTGGACCAGCTACAGTCCACCGCAAATTGGGGAAAGCGAGAGTGATGACTCCATCGAGGAGCAGGATGTAGGCTCGGGCGATTTTGCAGAGGTGCCGGATGATCGTCAGCTGAGGAACCCGCTAAACTGGTGGGATTACAGACGCAATCTTACCTATGGCTACATAGACAACGATATATTCAGCACGCCGAACGTGCACTAACCACACACCACAAATGCTTAGTTCCCTTCCCTTGCCCCATAACCCATAGAGTATCTGAAAGACTCTCTCATGCATATAACATTCCAAGTAATGATAATTTAACTGAACTTAAAATAATAAATAGTAGTATTAATTTAATCAAATATAATATTCCCCTAGGTGTAAGTAGTCAAAGTGAAGTAAAGTAAAAATTACAAATTTAATGTTGTGTCTGTAATGGCTACCCCTACTACATATAAATATTAGTAAATACATACATATTTCTTATTGATTGATTTATTGTATTTTTAAACAAATCGCAATACAATAGCAGTTCGTATATAATTATATTGTAAATTGTAATAAATCGCCATATGTATATATATATATAATTAATAATGGACTTACGAATGTTGGTGGGCGTGCGAGTGAGGTGCGTCCGCAATGGGAGTGGATAATAGATGGGGTAACTAAGCCATTAGACACTGAATGGAGCCCATTTGGCATTTACAATACAATTTGATAGGAGCTGCCTCCTGTTGCGGCACCGAACTACATCTTACAATCGAAAGGTGACATCTTGATTGGTGTTTGGTGGCATCCTGCAACGCCACTACTTGATTTAATATTTGAGCTTATGAATGAAATGCTAAGCCGTATCGCTAATCCGCTGCTGCTCTTGTCGCCTGTGATCTGATGCGGCCTACACTTTCTTCTTGATCATGCGTTTGCCACGCGTCACTGGTACAGCTGAGGACGCATCAGCTGTCGGCTCTGACGTTTCGGCCACGGCGGATGCTGCGTTAACATCTTCTGTTTTTATGGCTGGTTCCAACAACTCTGCTGCTGGCGATGCTGCCTCATCAGCTTTATCGTTTGTGCTTGAGGATTCTGGCACTGGTACTGGCGCTGGCTCTGACGCTGACGCTCTCAATTCGTCAGTGGGCTCGTTTTTCACATCAACATCCATCGAGGTGTGCTCCGTGTCGCTGGTGCCCGACATGGGCGACGGTGGGGCGCGCACTGCATCTGGATCATCGTCCTCCTGTGAGTTCGCGGCATCGTTGTTGCCTGTGCTGTCCTCTTCGGCTTCAGTCTCCTGTATATTGATGTGATAGAGTTTCATATCCTCCTCTGAAATGGGGACAGGTGCATTAGAGAGCGGATCCCGTCCATTGAGTGACTTGGGGAATGCAATCACATCGCGTATCGAACGCGCACGACACAGTATAGCTATAAGACGATCAAGGCCCAGTGCAATGCCACCATGCGGCGGACAGCCAGACTCCAAAGCGCTGAGCAAATGCGCCAGATGATCGTGGGGTATTTTGAGAACTTGCTCCAATATGAACTGCTGCATGTCACGATCGTGAATGCGCATAGAGCCACCGCCCACTTCCTGACCATTGAGGACCAAATCATATGCCTCGGACCGTATGGATTCCAGATTGTCACAGCTGGTGGCAAACTTATCCAGATCCTCAACAAGCGGCGCCGTGAACGGATGATGCACGCTCTCCAGCTGATTTGTAACGCGATTGCGCTCAAACAGGGGAAAGTCCACAACCCACAGGAAGCGATACTCGTTGGGTTTCTTGGTTTTTACATTCTCTACAAGGAAATCGTGGTAGTCTACTCGAATGCGACCCAGGAGATTACGCTGTGGGGAATGATGAAGTTTAGTATCGTATGAAAATAATAATAATAATAATCTAACCGTCTCGTCTTTGGGTCCAATACACAGGAAAAGTAAATCGTTCTCCTCCAAATCAAATTTCTCAATAATCTCAATGGCCACCTCCGTGCCCAACAGTTTTGTGAGCCTCTCCTGTACGTCCTTAGCAAAATTGAATTTGCGCACGAACAGCGTGCCCGAGAAGGCCTTGCTCAGGCTCTCGTAGTGCTTGCGTGCGGCTCCATTCCAGAAGGCTTCGCTGGCGCGCACCACAATGGCATAGGCGCTAAAGTCATTATATTTTCCCTTAAAGTTCTCACTCTTCTCGATAATGTCCGAGACATTGTTAAGCAGGAAACAGAATCGTGTGTCCGGCTTATCGGTGCCATATTTCTCCAGGGCCTCTTCGTAGGTGATGCGCCTAAATGGCGTTTGCAGCTTGGGCAAGTGCTTGGGCCACGAGTAGCGCAACGTTTCCTCAATCAGTTGCATTATATCATCGCGACTAGTGAACGACAGCTCAATGTCAAGCTGTGTGAACTCCGGCTGACGATCTGGTCGAGTGGCCTCATCGCGATAGCAGCGCGCCACCTGGAAGTAGCGATCGATGCCGCCGGACATCAGCATCTGCTTGAACTGCTGTGGGCTCTGCACCAGCGAATAAAAGTGACCCGCCTTGCGTGTGGGCACCACAAACTCCTGGGCACCGCCAGGGGTGCGGCGGAATAACGTTGGCGTCTCCACCTCCACAAAGCCCAAGTAGTTAATCAAATACTCGCGCATGCGCATTATAACCGCCGAACGCAACCGTAAATTATGCTGCATATCATTGAAACGCAAGTCCAAGTAGCGATGCGTGAGGCGCAAGCGTTCGCCGGCGCGATTAAATTTACGTATCTCGAAGGGGAGATTCTTTTTGGCCGCGTTCAGTACGTCGATCTTGTCGGCCTCGATTTCAACATGTCCTGTGGTCATTTTTGGATTTATGGTGGCTGCTGGACGCGGAATAACGGTGCCCTCGACGCGCACAATCGATTCAATGGGCACACCTGTCTCAGCGTACTCCTCCAGCCCCTTTGTCTTGGGCAAAATTAGCACCTGCGTTTGGCCATAAGCATCACGCAGTATGAAAAACTTGTTCATGCGTTGAAATTCCAGCCAGCCGCAAACGACGACCTTTTCGTTGATGTCATTCGAAGTCAGTTCGCCACAGTTGTGCGTGCGATCTGCAAATTTGTTGGTGTCCGCCACCTTCTGACGCTGCTGCTCGACGCACGCCTGAACTGTGCTCGGTGCGCTCGTTTCACCGCCATCCACATCGCCCTCACCATTATTGGCGTTGATTACGTTGCGAGCAGCGGCTGCGGCCTCATCGGCCTCGAGATCATCTATGGACATCTTCTGTACCTTCTCCTTAACCTTGATGGGACCCTCGTAGGGGTCATCGGGATTTAGCACTTTCACACTGGTCACACTAACTTCCACTTCGCCAGTGTCATATTTCTACAGATAAAAACAAGTTATTTTAATATATTTTTCGACATTTAAATTCTTTTATTCACTTACCAAATTTATGTTCGCCTTCGGCCTTCCGAGCACTTTTCCAACAATTTGCAACACAGTTTGCTCCGGTGTGGACATAAATGTGTCCATTAGCTGCATAAAGAAAGATTAAGATTAATTAAGCAAATAATTTATGATATATTTATGAGACTATCTCTAACTTCTATATTACAATACCTTCTGGAAAATTATATTTAATACACTATACATTCACAAACAAATTCTACATGCATACATATACAAATTTTGTTCTTGAATTCCTAGTCATAGTCATTATCTAATGAAAATTATTATATATACTCACAGATTGATCTTCGATCATCAGCTGAGTCTGTCCGTAGCCATCCTTTAGTTGCAAGAACTTGTTGTTCTTTGTTGATGGTATCCAGCCCACCAAGGTGACTGTTTTACCAACATCATCTCGCCGCAGATCATTACAGGTGAGATCACGATTCTCAAAGTATTTCAAGATATTCTCATTCTCTGCAAAAGGAGTTACAGAATTAAGTAAATTATATTTGATTTCTCAATTCATCTACTCACTGGCAATCTTGTACTCTGTGCTGGTGATGCCCAGGCTGCTCTGTTGCTGTGCCATGGTGCTGTAGGTGCGTTTATCGCCGGCGCGTTTCGTGCCGCTAGCCGGGAAATGTATGCTGAGTATGTCCTGCACCTCCACTTCGATTTCACCTGTAGGCATGGTCTGGTTACACGAATTGTGTGGTCTTCGCATCACCTGGCCCACAATTGTGAGCGTTGTGTTCTCTGGCATGTTGTTCATGCGTCGTGCCACTCGTGGATGTTTGTCCTCCAGCACGACCAGCTGACAAGCGCCACCATTACGATCGCGCAGCTCAGCAAAACGATTTACACGCTTTTTGAACAGACGCCCTGAGAGTTCCACAAACATGCCGCAATGATGATTCCTCAACTCTCCACAGCTCTGACGCATTGGTTGTGGGGGCTGTGAGTTCATGCTAAAATTACTGGCCATGGCGCTCATCAGCTGCATCAGATCGTTGCCCGAGATATTGGGACCCACTGAGAAAATAAAAACACTTTCAAAACTCCCTTCTTGATATATGAAACCTATATTTAAGCTTAGCTTTCCTGTAACACCTACATCTCTTCATCTCGATAAATTAAAAAAAAAAATATTTAGAAGTCAAGTAGAAGAATATTTAAATTTTCATTTTTGTGTGCTTTGCAAGCTATTAAAAGCTCAATTATAAATCACTTCAGCCATATGACATGTTATTTATATAATTCTCGATAATCGCCTCAGCCGATAACAATATCGTTTTTGACACTTTTGTCGACTGTCAGACTTGATTATTGTTGCAATTTTTAGTTTCCTATTGAAATAATTTACTTACTGTTGAAGGGATTTGGACCAGGGCCGAAATTGTCATTATAGCCGCCCCCTCCACAACCGCCTCCGCCCCTATAGTTATCAAAGTCGTTGTAACCACCCCCTCCACCACCGCCGCCGCCGCCTCCACCACCACCGTAGCCACCTCCACCACCATAACGTCCACCTCCTCCGCCTCCTCCTCGATAGCGACCGCTCATGATCTATAGCAAGAAATAAACGAAACCATGAGATTTGTGCCTTGCGCTAATCGGTGCGCCAGACTTACGTGACTACAAACTGCTACTGTTGCTGCCGCTGTTGGGGCTGCTGCCGGATCGCTGTCGTTGCTGTTGGCACTAGTTAAGTTACTTTGTTTTTGTGTCGATTTTGAACTGCTGTAGACCGCTGATGATTTCCCCAATTGTAGCAGTCGCTGCTGCTGACAACGCCAAACGTTTCTGGAAATTATAAGCATTTTAATTTAAAGCGTTGCGCTTTTCCCTCGCACAGTTTGCGCCTTTTGCAACCGATAAAAAAATGTTCTTTTCTAAGCACGAGCAGCACTCACACATTTACCAAAAACCTATGCGTGCGTGTGCGTATATACGTGTACTTGCTTATGTTGACTGTGCATGTGTGTGTGTGTCTGTGCCGGGCGTCGCGAAAACGCCGATGAGCTATTGACCAATTTGCAATTGGTATTCGCGCTTACCTAAGCAATATGATGTCTATCTTTAACACAATTGCGGGAGTTATTACGTGCAGTTTGCTAGTTTAACACGCGCACACAAATCTGTAGTTTCAACTACAAGTCACTTGGTTTTCTTCTGAAAAATAACTCAAATATGTTTTGGCTTGGTGCTGGTGGAGGAGAGAAAAATTAAGTAGAGCAACCATTTATCGATAGTGCAAGGCAAAACATCGATAGAGCACGTTAGGGGTGAAATATCGCGTCTCAACTACAGCTGCTCGACAAAGCACGAAATATGATCTCGACCTCAGGAACTAGTTTAAAAAAAGTACATAAATACAAATTTTTACGATATACAAAATCCATTCTCTTTATTTACATAAAGCTTAAGATCATTAACAAATGCATAAAATAACAATAGATTTGTGTTACTCAGTACTATGCATGACTTGGATGTGGCATTCAAGGTTCCTCAACTTGCATTTGGCTTATAATTAGAGAAAAGTACGGACCAGATAATATTACTCAAAGTCTACCTGTGTTCAGTGCCATTCAGTGCATTCTGATAATGTGTAATGACATAGTCATGATAATAGGCCATAATGCACAATGGTTGTCCCAATATAATAGATGCCCAAACAATAATATTTCCCATGCGCGGACCCAAACGACGCTCAACATATCTAGATATTGCTGATAATGGTATTTGACCCATCATGCCGAGGAAAGCCCAAATCTTGTACGTTTGCAATGGCACTGAAACCTGTAAAAAAAAAAATAAATAAAAATGTAAATAGAAATTTATAGTATGCATAAAAGATCTTACCAAATACTCATGGAAAAAGGCACTGAATAGGAACACAATTGTGGATGCTTGGCGGGACGAATATCCCATTTGTACAACGGGTATATATAGATGACGCACGCACCACCTATGCACCGGCATATTCCAGGTACGCCAAAATGTGTCAATATTATTTGCATTCCACCAGTCACAGTAAAAATTGCGATCTGCGAAATATAGCACTTCGCCAATGGCATTCAGAAAAGAGTGGAACAACAGATAGAAGAAGATCAGCCAGACTAAATGATTGGGAAGCTATAAAAAAAAAACATAGATACAAATTATATAAATCATCATATATAAAAAAAATCTGTACTTACTGCAAGTTTCAGCAGACGTTCTGTGGCCAGAGCCATATCCATGTTGGAGAATGGTATTAAGGAGTTACGCACTGAGGGTATAATCCATTGTTGGAACAAGGCCATCAACACATTTACACCAATTAGCACTTCCAGTAAACGTTTCAGTAAAAAACGCTTGCGGACGCGCGAGGTGCGTGGAAAATTCAATTCATAGCAAAGAGTTGGTGCGCACAAGAAGTACATAATATCCTTGTAACATAAGTTTTCGGGATATTGAACCAACTTAGCTACATCTTCATCATCTTCGCCACCAGTCGAATGCTTTCTCTCTAGAAATACGAAATTTATTATAATGTTTGTTCTTAAATAAGAATTACTCAGCACTTACTCAGCTCTGCTACCGTAATACTTGGTCGTCTTTCACGTGGCTGCCTTTGGTAATAGGTCTTCCGACACCACATATTAGTCTGCACGTAACTCCAGAGTTTAAGGAACAGTACGGAATAGTAGAAACACACAGAAGTTGCACCCACTATAGATAGATATATATATATATATTAACATATACATGAAACATATATTTCCGTTTACTACTCACTTATGCTAAATGCAGATCCTTTGAGATGTATTATTACCACCGGCAATAAAACCGAAAAAATTATGTTTGCAATTTGAATAACCATGCCAAGACCTTCGGATATTATTTCCTGCAAATATTCAAAAGCATTGTCAGTTATTTATCGATAGTCATAAATAAACGACCTTTTGTCTAATGCGCGATGTATTTCTATAACTTATAACGATAGCCCTACTCATCGTTCATCGCTTAAACGCCCCATCACTTCCGTCTGCACATTCGTCATTCCACCGTTTCGCACAACGCTTGGTCGCTTACGCTTTGTGTGCGCAATTTCGTTATATGTTGTAAAGTAGTGTTAAACAAGACTTATCAAAAACGCAAAAGCCAACGTGATATATAAATATAAATAAATAAATAAAAATTAACAAAATGGAAGTCACAGACGCCAATTTGCAATTGCTTGCCGGCTATTTGCAACAGACGCTTAGCGCAGATCCAAATGTCCGTAGACCTGGTAAGTATGTGTGTGTGAGCATAAGAGAGAGAGAGAGAGAGAGAGAGAGAGCAACATCGAATTATTGTGCGCGCGGGAAAACGGCGGTACCTTAGCGGGCTCATCAAATCAACGGCAAAAAATGAGATTGTTGATTGAGTAGCTCTCTTTCTCTTTTAATCTCTTACGAACATATCTTGTGCGGTTGTGCAGATCTAGAATAAAACATGTTTTTATTTTTTTTCTATAAACAGCCGAAAAGTTGTTGGAATCAACAGAGTTGCAGCAGAATTATCCGGTTCTTCTGCTCAACCTAATCGATAAGGCCACCATGGACATGACCATACGTGTGGCGGGCGCCATTGCATTCAAGAATTACATCAAACGCAACTGGGCCGCGCACGAGGACAGCGACGAGCCAGATCGCATACACGCGACCGATCGCAATACAATCAAAACTCTGATTGTCACATTGATGTTGCATTCGCCGACGGCGCTGCAGAAGCAGCTGAGCGATGCGGTGAGCATCATTGGAAAACATGATTTTCCCAAGAAATGGCCGCAGCTGATCGACGAAATGGTGGAGAAATTCGCCTCCGGTGATTTCAATGTAATCAACGGCATTTTGCAAACCGCACATTCGCTTTTCAAGCGCTATCGCTACGAATTTAAATCTCAAGCATTATGGGAGGAGATCAAATTTGTGCTGGACCGGATGGCCAAGCCATTGACGGAACTGCTGCAGGCAACCATGCAGCTGACCACTCTGCACGAAAGCAACGCCGAGGCCTTGAAGGTCATTTACAGCTCTCTGGTGCTGGTCAACAAGGTCTTCTTCTCGCTCAACTCACAGGATCTGCCCGAGTTCTTTGAGGACAACATGAGTACCTGGATGGGCGCCTTCCTACAGCAGCTGGCAGTTGATGTCGCCATTCTACGCACCGACGATGACGAAGATGCCGGCGTCTTGGAACATCTGCGTTCCCAGGTCTGTGAGAATATCTGTCTGTATGCGCGGAAATACGATGAGGAGTTCAAGCCCTACATGGAACAGTTTGTGACTGCAGTCTGGGAATTACTGGTGAAGACCAGCTTGCACACGAAATATGATGCGGTGAGTAAGATTTATATTTTAATTAAATTCATCAATTTATAATACTTCATATATGGTTTAGCTCGTCTCAAATGCGCTGCAATTCCTTTCGGTGGTCGCAGAGCGCAAGCATTATCACGGCATCTTTGAGAATCCGGAGATATTGGCGCGCATCTGTGAGAAAGTTGTCATACCCAACTTGGACATACGCCCCTCCGACGAGGAGCTGTTCGAGGACAGCCCGGATGAGTATATACGACGGGATATTGAAGGCTCTGATATTGATACGCGACGACGCGCCGCCTGTGATCTGGTGAAGACGCTCTCCATCAATTTCGAACAGAAGATCTTTGGCATATTTGGCCAATACCTGCAAATCTTGCTGGACAAGTACAAAGAGAATCCGGTTGCCAATTGGCGTTCAAAAGATACGGCCATCTATTTGGTCACCTCCTGGGCATCACGCGGTGGCACCCAAAAGCATGGCATTACCCAAACTTCCGAGCTGGTGCCCTTGCCACAGTTCTGCGCCGAGCACATTGTCCCCGAGCTGGAGCGACCCAATGGTAATTAAATAATTGGCTTAAACCGTAGGCTACGCATATATATCAGAGTTGAGTTGGCATTAAGCATTTCTCCTTTCTCTCTCTTTGTCCCGCACAGTGAATGAACTGCCCGTGCTTAAAGCAGCTTCTATAAAGTATGTGATGGTCTTTCGCAGTCTGCTGGGACCCCAGACTTTGGCAGGCTGTTTGCCACATCTGATTCGGCATCTGCCCGCCGAGAGCATTGTGGTGCACAGCTATGCGGCCTGCTCGCTGGAGAAGATATTAACTATGCGTGATGCAAACAATACTCTGTTGTTTGGCCCCCAGGTAATTGGTCCACACTCCAATCAACTAGTTAGCGGATTGTTTGCAACGCTTTCGCTGACTGGATCAGCGGAGAACGAGTACGTGATGAAAGGTGAGTTCAAGGTCACACGCAACATATACAAATGGACACATTCATTAATTCGTTTGTTTTTATTGCTTAGCCATCATGCGCAGTTTCCATGTGCTGCAGGCGGGCGCTTTGCCATATATGGCCGTTGCTTTGCCACGCCTGACCGAAATTCTCACATTTGTCGCCAAGAATCCGTCTCGCCCGCTGTTCAATCACTATCTGTTTGAGACCCTCGCCCTATCGATTAAGTATGTTATTTTCAAGAAATGCCAGGGTATTTAATTAATTTATTTTCTCTCCAGAATCGTTTGTCAAGCGGATGCTACGGCTGTTAGTTCCTTTGAGGAAGCACTCTTTCCCGTTTTCCAGGGCATCTTGCAACAGGACATCACGGAATTTATGCCCTACGTATTTCAAATGTTGTCTGTTTTGATGGAAGTGCGCGAGGGCACTGGACCCATACCGGAACCCTATTGGGCGCTCTTCCCTTGCCTGTTGGCACCGCCTCTATGGGATCGCCGTGGCAATGTGACGCCTTTGATTCGTCTGCTGTCAATCTTCATTAAGCAAGGCTCTGCCCAGATCCAAGCGCTTGGCAAATTGGTAACTACTCAAAGCATAATGAACTGTCGTAGCAATCGTTAACAATTTTAATATTTCAGAATGGCATTTTGGGCATATTCCAAAAAATGATCGCATCCAGGGCAAACGATCACGAGGGTTTTTATCTGCTGCAGAATTTGTTGTACTATTACAACGCCGACGAGTTGCAGACGAACATGCGACAAATCTTTGGCCTGCTCTTTCAACGACTGTCGCTCTCAAAGACCGCCAAGTATCTGAATGGCATCATTGTGTTCTTCAGCTTCTATGTGGTCAAAGTCGGTGGCACTCCGCTGGTGCAGCTCATCGAGCAGATACAGCCGGGCATGTTCGGCATGCTGTTGGAGCGCGTATTTATAACGGACATGGCTAAGGTCAGCAAGGAACTGGAACGCAAAATTGTCGCTGTAGGTGTTAGCAAGCTGCTCTCCGAATGCCCCGAAGTTTACTCTGGACAATACAAAACTTTCTGGCCCCGTCTATTGCACTCACTAATCGACCTGTTCGAGCGCCCGCCCGAAAAGCTGCCCTACCTGGATGGACTTGATGGCAACGCTGACACAGACGTTGTGGTCGATGCAGAGCCTGGCTACCAGGCCGCATTCTCTCAACTAACATTTGCGCAGCCCAAACAGGTGGACCACCTGGCCGATGTGACCGATTTGCGCCTATATTTGGCCAGAGCGTTGTCCAACTTGTCGCAGACTGTGTCGCCAGCCGAGGTGACCAATTTAATCACACCACTGGAGATGGACTATAAGGAAATGGTGATGAAATATTGTGACCAGGCGGGCGTACGCATTGCATAAGTGCAACTACTGCTCCCATACATATGCAAAATACACACACACACACTCAATGCATGAATTATTAATTGTCATACAAGAATTGTTTATAAGTGTAATTATATAATCGATGAACTATTAATTGTCATACAAGATTTGTTTATAAGTGTAATAATATAATCAATACATAGTTATGTTTGAAAGAAGGTTTAATATGGAGTTGGATTGATTGAGAATTCGAGAATTTGAGCTGAACTGAAAATGAAACTGCATGAGACTCGTGACGAGCCGAATTTTATATCACTTTGCTTAAAGAAATAATAACAGAATAAATTTCAACTAGTTTTTCAAATCAAATCATGTGTGCTTAGCGCCCTCTGTCGTCAGCTGATTAAGCAAAAGGCATACATCCAATTGGAACAGTTCTCGGCTCAGCCATGTAGCAGCTGTTTAAAACTAATATCTTTTCGACCATAAATTCAAATTGGAAATTTCAAGTTTTTAACAGCAGCCTTTAAGACTAAGTTCGCCAAAATACGATGTGGGGGCTATTGAATGAATGCGGTCATCGATTGTACCAACTGGGCCGACAAAAATTACAAAGTGAGTAGTAAATCATGTACTTACCAGAGCCAAACCCTTTTCGACGGCCAGACAGAGGGAGATGTGCACAAAAGAGTCTGAAGAGGAAAGTTCATTATTGATTAGTCCAGCTAAGCAGAGAGCATACTTACACAAGACTAGAAATAGAGCATTATGACCTTCACCCTGATCGCGTCCGCTCACAAAGAAATACCAATCAATAGGATTGATGCGTATGCCGTATCTGTAAAGGATATTAGTTAGGATTCTGTCTTACTATCCATTTCTCTCCTTGTTATACTCACTTGATCAGATTCTCTAGACCCAAACGCAAACCGCCTATGCAGAGCAGCAGAAAGCCCCAGTTGACTAGGCCCGTAAAGTTGGTAAATCCTGAGCTCCAGGAGAACAACGAATCGCGGGGACGATGAATGCTGCAAAATGATCGTTCGATAGGATAGATACCATAGCAAATCAGTTTACGTTTCTCTCTCTCTCTCTCTCTGTCTTTACTCACGATCTGTCGGGCTGTGCCTTGCGCAGTTTGGCCTCCTTGTTGGAGATCTCCTCGGCCCTTGTCACGCTCTGAGTGCGTCTGTAGCGCAGCTTCTTCTCGCTGGTGCCGTTGCCGTTTTCATCCTTGTCCAGCACCTTGCGATACTGACGCAGATCAATCGGATTGCCATGCTGATCGAACAGGTGCTGCGTGGAGTTGCGATTGCGCAGATTGTTTAGATTATGTTCCGTTACAGAGGCGGAGCGTCGCAGGCGCTTCATTAATCCCCCAGCGGCGCCATTCTTCTGGGCCGGCTGCGTCGTTGTCTTGGGCACCTGATCCTTGGGATCTTTGGTCGCTGTCATGGCTCTCGCGTTGTCAATAGCTGCACGGCTGTGCTTATCAAAAAAGAAACGCATCGATCAGCTTTCAATCCCTCTTTTATTAATTTATTATTTCTATTTATTTTTATATTCTTCGAATCTTATCGTTCGCATTCCTTTAGAGCACTAAACATTTTGCAAATGATAAGAAAAATCGTAGTTTGTTTTTGCTGCAGCTATTAGCGCTTTATCAACGAGGCTCTTGAGCTAAGCCAGCAGATCGCAACGATCGTTCAACAGTTGAAAATTATAGTCTTCAATTAAACTCTCATGTATCATAAAACCGCAGCTGGCTTGCAACAATTTGCGGCTAAAGTTCATGCACTTTAACAGAGAAAGAAAGAGAGGAAGAGGTGACACGCGAGAGATACACGGGCATACAGTGTAGTTAATTAATATTTACCTATCCACTATATATGTGATTATATTGTAAAGAAACATATTTACACATCGATGCAACTGGAAGCTGTTAGCTGGCTTCTAAACCTGAACTGCGATAAGCAGCAGCAGCAGTAGCAGCAGCAGCAGCAGCAGTTGCATGTGCTCGGTCTGGCCCGAGCCAGGTAACAGGCATTACGCGATAGAGAAGATTAGCTATAGTGCATAGTTTAACACGCAAGGTGATCGCTAAACGTAAATCGCAAATCGCAAGTCGTCAATTTGCATTGCAAATTCTAATGGAGCAATCGATGCTGAATGTCAGACTAAGTTACCTCAATGACATTATTCTTCAACTGGTGCCGACGATCTTCATGTCTTAAGATACTAATTTAATTTCTATCATTAATTTCCATGCTAAAATTCATATATGCAGCTTTCATCCTTATACGGTCTTATTTGTAAAAAAAATGATTCTTGCAATTTAAATATTTATCGAAACATATTTGGCAGTTGCAAGCTCCAGCTATGTTTTTATACGCTCATGAAGTGAATGGGTATATTAGTTTTGTGCAATATCCGCCCTACTGTCCATCCGTCCGTTTGTTCTATTGTAGCTAGAGACTTGAAGTACCGCATATTTCCCATATGCCCACTAGGGGCTTGACTAATTTGGAAATACTACAAGTTGTATAACAGTAAGACTATTATTATATATTATATTGTAACTGTTAAAAATCGTAAATTTTAGAATAAATACTCGCATTAACAAACCAAGCCTAAAAATCTATAGTAGGTATATCTACGTCCAGCTTAAAATATTAATTTTAGAGTTCTGTTGACTTTCTTTATTCATTTACTAAACAAAATTACAAAATTTATGAGCCTTTGTTAAGGCCAGAAAAATAGATGTATTTTTGACAGATCTACAGGTTTTGTGTCAAACTGAAAGCAAAAAAAAAATTACGCCTATTGAACCATTACCAAAGCGGAAAAACAACCTCAAATCTTAACCCTTTAATGCTTCCCCACCTATAAATGTATTCCGCACCTAAATACATATGTATTCGAGAGTATTATATAGTCAGTAACGCCCAATTGCTGCATTATAAGTTATTTCAATTTTCAATCCTCCCTTTGATAGAATGTTTTTTTTTTTTATTATATAGAACTATAATTTTATATAGAACTATAATTTTAAATATTTTATATATATTTTATATACACGTTCCTATTTATAAAAACAGACCTTGAACTGAACCATTGACTTTTTCGCAAATTTTATGCTGAGCTTGATTAGCAAAATCTAAGCTGAAGCAGCATTGAAAATAAAGCTTTTCAAATAAGAAATGGACTTTGCTATAAATCTGATTAGAAAGTTGCAGCACTTTTAGGTTGCATTAAATCCAATAAAGTCAGTTCTAACATATAAATAAATATTTTAAGATGTGCTTAATCAGCAATCAAATGAGACATTCACAATAAAATATTTTAAATTGTTCTAAACACTCCAAAGCCCAACAAAGAGCAATTTAGTGAAATTGTTTTTGATTAGCTAAGTTTGTTGTTTCTGTTTAGCTCTTAATCTAATGCATCACCAAATGAAACTCAGCGCAAAAACAAAAGCTGCTCGAGGGCAGTTTTATTAAGCAAAAATAAAATAATAGCAGCACATTCTCTAATATATGTATATACAAAACAAGCAAACGCACACAGCAACACACTCAAGACTATTCCAAAATTGATATACTAGCTATACATATTATATGTATGGGAATACATATTATATGTACATATATAGGGAATTAGTATATATTTTAAGTTTGCGATACGATTTGCTTTCGCAACTCACGTTCACGTAACTTGTTTATTATTGATATTCTGACAGCAGAAATATGATTAAAAATTAGTTTAAGCAATTACTGCAAGCAAATATGAATGTCTTAATGTACATACATATGTTTTGGTTTATTTTTAAAAGAGACCCAGCATTGAATCACAGCGTCGTTTGGTGGGGTTATCACAATTAAATATAATAATTGCTTGAGTAGCGAACATTCTACGTCATTTGTTGAACTAAACAAAATCAGAATAAAAGCAATTTAATTAATGAACATTTCTTCGACTAAATTTAACTTTTAATATATGTACGTAAGCAGAGAGATAAGCAAATACGATTTATATCGCCGCTTATCACGGCTTATAAAAGGTTTATGGGCTCCTTATTGGAGCAGATAAAACAAAGTGTTACCACACGCATTGAACTGTATCAGAGCAGTTAGTATATCATATCATTGTATATCATTGAACATTGCACCTCTCTCTCTTATACGATTACACCTAGCATAGAATTCATCTTATACGCTTGCTCAAGTCGTTGCACTACGTATACCATTCAGCTGTTGATCTAATAACATTGCACTGCTCTTATACTCATGGGTATGCCAATTAACAGTTCTTATACGCTGTGCATGCTTGCGTGCACACAGTCGAGTCATCGTGACGCGATTTCATTAGGCAGCTCTTATGGCTCATCAGCAACGCGTAGCAAAGCGGAATGAGAATGCGGCACAAAAGCTGCACTCAGCCAACACATGTGGAAATACCAACCATTTAGAAGACAAAGAATAAAAGTATTTATATATACATATTTACATGTATTTATAAGTGTGTGCGTGTGCGTGTGTGTGTGAATATTTACATTGTCAAGGTGCTTGCTGCGTTTTTTAATACAATTCTTCGTATTTACTTATACTTTAAAGCAGGGCATTGACATTACGATATCTTGTACTCTTATAACAAGTCCAATAAGACTGATCAATACACTTCCGATTGAGTGTATTTGTATGTATATGTATATATTACGTAATTGTTGATTGTTGTTACAATGACTAAAGCACATTAAATATACAAACATATATTTTAAAAAATATGTATATATTTTTTGTGTGCTTACTTGCAATTAATTCAAGCACATGGTCAGTAAGTTAATTACACAGGCAAACCGGTCACCAAACCAGCGAAATTGCCTAGAATCGAAGCCCACAGCTAAAGTAGGTCAGTAATGCAGGCCAACTTGCTTAGCTGACTTAAGATGCGGCGATAAGGTTCAATTGTTTGGCATGGATTATAAACATGACTATTTAAACGTGCTATCTCACTTCCAATTAGATCTACAATGTGGGCGCTCAGACACAGTGATTCAAATGTATGTATGTTCGTTACAATGTAAACGGATGCTTGGCCACACACAATCGAATTAAACAGCTTATCAGCCGGCAACTGGTGTCTGCGCCAACCGAAATGCTATCAGCGACGTCTGACATTTGACTGATAAGAGCTCGTAACAGGCAGACCAGCATTTTTTCTTTTTTTTACATTAATGGAATTTGACTTCCAATTGGTTTTGTGCTAAGTTCAGAGGAAAAACACAGTTTCATTGCAGTCTGTTTGCTGCATGCATTTCTCGCATTCAACTTCGCACTCTCCCTATGCTTCTCTTTCTGGTTCTCTTGTCGTGCTGTTTCTCTGTTTTTGCACGTTGGATGGATCGCTGAACCTGTTTTCTGCTTAGAAGTTTGATTGGTTAGTTTTTGTTGTCGTTTGCTGAGAGACGCGAACTACTCAAAATATTTGTTCAATCTGTTTTAAGACGCTAGCAGACAAATCAAGGTTATTCGAAATAGGCATATGTATATACATCATACATACGCATGTATTCATGTATGTACATATGTTTATAATGTATATTGACACCGACATAT